ATACATGGAAGGGAATGCATTTATTGTCATAATAGAGAACAGTTGCTAGGGTGCATACTTAGGGTTACAATTAGGGTTAGGGTTAGGGTTCTAATTTTCAAGCACACCTGTGGCAGTGCATCCACACCTGGAAGCATAGGGCGCTTTTCCTGCATTGTAGGGTGCATGCTCTGGATCATCGACTCAATTTCCGCCGCATGTGTGGCGGTGCATTTATACGTCCGTTTTAAATCTCTTGCGCCCTTTTTCTGGTGCACCAGTGTCGCTACATACATATGCACATGTGAAGGTGCACCTCTTTCCGGAAGAAGCGGAAAAAAGCAGCTCCTTTTAGGAGCGGCTTTTCCCAGCATACGACGCCTAGAGGCCACTTTCCTGCCGGCTTTTAGGCGTGCGTCGTCTAAACGCCAGGCCTCCAAGCCAGCCTGAAAGCACCTCTTTTTGCCCATCTGTACAGCCCCTAACTGTCTCAAAAGATGTTGCAGTTGACAGAAGTTGTAATGAAGTTTCACAGACTAGTCCACAAAAACTGCATTAGCAACCAACATTCAACATTTATATTTTACATGACAGTGGCTGCCAAAATTCTATACTCCCAAAACTGGAAAAATAATATAACGCCAACAGTCCAAGACTGGATGATGAAGGTATTAGATAAATTGACCCATCTGCTAAGAGGAAAAAACAACTGGCAATTTGGTTGAGGATATATATATATATATATATATATATGGATATTGTATATTTGTTTTTTTGGTTTTTTTTTTAAAAGACTTCATGCAAAAAAAGATTACACTACATCTTCTTTTGCCCAGTTAGGCTCAATGGTGCTGCAAGATCCCTTTGCTTGTTGGCATATTCTTGTTTGATTTTATTTCCGTAGCAAAACCGTGCGAGGGCGAATGCAAGGATATTTCGGGGCCCTTATAATCCTTACATTGCTAGGATCTTGTGAACCACAGAAACCAAAATATGTCATAAAAAGAGCTGGATCTAGGTCACCTCAACCACTTAGCCCTTAAAATACACCAGCAGATGACCTAAATGGATGACTTCACTCTTAATATTAGGCCAGTCGCCAAGACTTCTAAACTTCTTCCAAGGCACTGATAACACAACGTACTTGAAGTGTGTTGCAGATTTCACAAGCATTGGTGCAGGTTTTATCATTAAACAGGCAAGTGGGGATTATTGGTGTTTACCACTTACTTCTCAATTTTATTTATTTATTTTGAGTGCCAATGAGAAACACCAGAACACAGACAACATGAGCATGCTGCAAAATTCTTGGCATCGACTGTGAAACATCATGGCAGTGCATCATTGGCAAATCCTTTTGTGTGTGTGGGTATGGGTTGTGTGCCTTAATGCCGTTTCTGATTTATGACAAACCTAAGGCCAACCTATCATGGGGTTTCCTTGGCAGGATTCCTTCAGAGGAGGTTTGCCGTTGCCTTCCCCTGAGGCTGAGAGAGTGTGACTTGCCCAAGGTCACCCAGTGGGTTTCATGGCTGAGCTGGGAATTGAACCCTGATCTCCAGAGCCAAAGTCCAACACTCAAACTACTATGCTACACTGGAAAAACATTATATTTACTACAGCCTGACAGTGAACATTATCATCAATCTGGAAAGGAAAAAAAGAAAATAAAAAGCGAACACTGAGATTCAAGGAAATTCTGCTTTTATTGTGCAGAATTTTCCATATTTAAGGAGTTTTACCAGACAAGAGCCTGCCTCATTCAGAAAGCTTTACAATAGAGTCTGGACAATGGTTGCACCTGCGCTACAGAAATAATGCAGTTTGACACTGCTTTACCTGCCCTGGCTCAATGCTATGGAATCCTGGGATTTATAGTTTGGTGGGGCACCAGAGCTCTCTGACAGGGAAGGCTAAATAGCTCACAAAACTACAAAGCTCAGACTCCCATAGTACTGAGCCATTGGCAGTTAAAGCGGTGCCAAAGTGCATTATTTCTGCAGTGCAGATGCAGCCAATGTGATCTTCCATTTGTAACCTCTCCTGTATTTTCCTGTAGCTGCTTCTTCCTTTTCTTAGAAAAGAATATCCTCTAAGAAAGGAAAAATGGAAGAGCTGCACAATTTTCCACCAGTTTGTAGAAAGAATGATCCAGCTGCAGGTATCCTTAGTATATTCTGGAAATGACCAGCAATGGCAGGGGATGGATTAGATGGTCTTTGGGATTCTTTCCAACTCCGCGATTCTGTGTTTTGTTCTTCTTTCTTCTCTTTCTGTGCCTTCAAATGGAATCCAAGTCATGGTGGCCCCATCCGAGGGTTTTCCTAGCAAGATTTACTCAAAGGAGATTTGTCAATGCCTTCCTCTGAGGCTGAGAGTGTGTGATTTGCCCAAGGTCACCTAATGGATTTGCATGGCTGAGCCGGGATTTGAACCCCGGTCTTCCAGAATCCTAGTCCAACACTCAAACCACAGTTGCTCTTCAGCTTTTCTGCAAGGAGGTTTGCCATTGCCTTCTTCTGAGTCTGAGAGAGTATGCCCAAGGGGGGGTTCCATGGCTGAGTGAGGATTTGAACCCAGTTCCCCCAAATCCCTAGCCCACTCAAATCACTACACCATGTTCTTATTGTTATGTGCTTTCAAGCTGATTTGAACCTATGGCAACCCTATCCTAAAATTGTCTTGTCCAGATTTATTCAGAAGGAGTTTGCAATACCCTAAAGGCACCAGATGCTACTCAATCTCAGAAGCTAAGCAGGGTCAGCTCTGGTTAGTACTTGGATAGGAGCCCACTGATGGATACCCAGTGCTGTAGGCTATATTTAAGAGGAAAGAACTGGCAAAATTTGAGGAACTGAGGACCCGTTGCCTAAGGAAACCCTGCGAAATTCATGAGATTGCCATAAATTTACAGCGCACTTGAGGGCAGACACACACACCCAATGCCTAAATATCTTAAAGGCATCAGATCCTTTCTGATCCTGGAAGCTAAGCAGGGTCAGCCCTGGTTAGTATTTGGATGGGAGACCACCAATCAATACTAGGTGCTGCAAGCTCTATTTCAGAGGAACGAACTGGCAAAACCACCTCTCAGTCTTCCTTGCCTGAGAAAACCCTAAGAATCCTAGAATCCTAGAGTTGGAAGAGACCCCAAGGGCCATCCAGTCCAACCCCATTCTGCCATGCAGGAACTCACAATCAAAGCATCAAAGAAGAAATTCATGGGGTTGCCATAAATCGACAGGCTACCTGAGATTTGTTGCCGGTCCCCCATCCAAGTGCTAACCAGGGCTTCCAAGATCTGGTGCCTTTTTAAAGGTATCAACAAATGTCAGCATCTGTGGGTGTCATTTTTGATTTCTTGAAAGAAAGAAATCTCAGATTTTGGAAAGAGCTGATTTAGATATTTTCATTTTTTTGGTGGGGAGGGGAAGCTGGCCAAAAGTTAGTCCTGACTAACAAAGAAGACAAAGAAAAAGAGAAACAAAGGAGCCACAGTGGAAGACAATGCCCCTGTGAAAGTCTCTTGCACCACCAAGATAGTGGCATGATTTAGCTGGCGCATCAATTGGTTTCTATGAGAAATGGCTTTGATAACAATTTTTGTGTAAATGGGTGCCGTTCCCATATTCTTGTCGAAAATTGCTGGTATATTGGACACACACACACCCATTGATGCACAGTGGGGCACTTTTCCCTTGCACACCTATCCTTGCACGCCTAGAAGGGATATATACTTTTGCACATATGGCACGACTGTTGAAGCATTGTTATTGTTGTTGTTGTGGTGTGCTTTCAGGTCGTTTCCGACTTATGATGACCCTATCATGGGGTTTTCGTGGCACGTTTCTCCAGAGGGAGTTTGCCATTGCCACCTGCTGAAGCTGAGAGAATGTGACTTGCCCAAGGTCACCCAGTGTGGCATTACCACAAGGGAATAGTTCAATTGTTATTGTGTTTGTGTGTGTGTGTTGTGTGGCTTCAAGTCGTTCCATGATAGGTTCACCTTGCCAAGATTCTCCAAAGCGGGTTTGCCATTGCCTTCCTCTGTGAGGCTGAGAGAGTGTGACTTGCCCAAATCACCCTGTGGGTTTACATGGCCAATCAGGGAGTCGAACCCTGGTCTCCAGAGTCCTACTCCAACATTCAAACCACTATGCTACACTGTCTCTCTCATTATTATTTTTATCAATTAAATTATTTCTGTCGCACCCTCTATAATGAGATCTTGGGGTGGCATAAAATTAAAACAATATTTGTGGTGCAGTGGTTTGAGTGTTGCACTGGGAATCTGGGAGACCAGGGTTCGAATCCTCACTCATTTGAGATGTGGTGTTGGAGAAGAGTGCTGCAGATACTGTGGGCTGCTAAGAAAGAAAGAAAGAAAGAAAGAAAGGTTTTAAAGGAAATCAAGCCCCAAAGACTTTCATGCTTGGTAAAGTAGAAGGTAGTAGAAAAAGATGAAGACCACATTCCCGATGGTGAGACTCAATCAGAGAAGCCATGGCCATGAATTTGCAAGACCTGAGCAGTGGGGTTGAGGACAGGAGGACTTGGAGGACTTTCATTCATAGGGTCACTACAGTTTGAAGTGACTCTATGAATGAAAGACCTTCAAGCCAAAGAAAGCCAGAATGGTCCAGCGGTTTGAGCCTTGGGTGGACTGACTGAAGGCCAGGATTCAAATCTCTGCTCAGCCATGTAAACCCACTTTGTGACCTTGGGCAAGTCACACTCTCTCATCCTCTGAAGATGGCAACCCCCTCTCTGAAAATACTGTAATAAGATTGCCTTATGATCATCCGAAGTTGGAAACAACTTGAAAGCAATCGACAAAAAAGACTGGGGTTCGATTCCCAGCTTGGCCATGAAACCCACTGGGTGACCTTGGGCACGCCACATGCTCTCAGCCTCAAGGGAAGGCAAAGACAAGCTGCCGCTGAAGAAATCTTGCCAAGAAAACCCCATGACAGGGTCGCCTTAGGCTCACCATAAGTATAGGAAATGCCTTGAAGGCACGCAACAACAACAACAGGTTGAAGACAGGTAGCTGGCCATCTATCCAGTATGCTTTGATTAGGAGTTCCTGCATGGCAGGGGGGGTTGGACTGGATGGCCATTGGGGTCTCTTCCAACTCTAGGATTCTACGATTCTAAGGCATCTTGATTGAAGTTTGGCTGGGACATTCAACACTTGGAGTCTGGTGGAGTCTCCTTCTTTGAAGGCCTTTAAACAGAGGCTGGATGGCCATCTGTCAATGGGGATGCTTTGATTGAGAGTTCCTGCATGGCAGAATGGGGTTGTACTGGATGGCCCTTGGGGTCTCTTCCAACTCGAGGATTCTATCATTCTATGATTCTAAGTCGACTTGAAGGTAATTAACCGCCACAACAACTCTGACACCAAATTAGCAATAGCAAGTAGCAATAGCAAGTATATTTCTATACTGCTTCTCAGTGCACTAAGTGGTTTACAATTTAATGCTAAAGCAGCAATGTCCAGGAACACCTTGGCTTTGTTAGCTAAGGTATACCTGTATTCATCTTTCACGCAACTCTCTTTTTGATTTTCCCTGCAAGAGACCTACAGGGCTAGGCTGTCTGAATCTGCAGTCAGCTCACGAACCGCTGGCTAGCATGTGGTTCAGCATCCCTTTGTTGGAGTTTTATGTCACAGGAATGTGGTGCCATTAAGAAAGGCAAGGAGGAGGACTGCAGTAAACCTTGTGCCAAGAGACCTGGATGTGTGTGTGATTTCTTTTGGTGTGTGAATTATTTGACCTAGGAAAGACAAAGTTGTAAAAGGATTCCTGCAGCCAAAGTAGAGAATTTTAGTGGCATATCATCATCATCATCATCACCACCACCATCACCATCACCATCATCATC